CCGGGGGCTCTGCTGCTTCATTCGGACCCCATTTCCGGCAGATTAATTATCAGGAAAAAAAAAATTAACACAATTAATACTTAATATTACACTGGATTCTTTTTTTTAAATCGCGTCCCATTTTGCGATGGCTGGGGTGGCTGATGCTGGATCAGGTGCTGGAGACCCCTCAAAATCACTCCAAAATTGGGAACGTAGAGGCTGCCCCGCTGCTGTCCTGAACACGCACGGAGGGATGAGGACAACGAGGACGGATGTGGCAGGACATTCCCTTCCTCTGCCCTTGCTCCCTTCTCACCCAGGTGCATCCCAAACTACCGCCCACAGCCAGTTGCAAATGAAACCATGGGACACGCGGAAGAGGGAGCCACCCTCGGATCTAACACAGTGTCCCTTGGCACGACCCTTCACGTGGGCACCACTTTGTGCTAGGGGTTTTTCTCTCTCCTGGTGCCTGTGGTGTTAGATCCCATCTCCCTTGAAGTCCACAATAAAATGCATGTCCAAGCCTGAAGTCTGTTTTCCAAGGGACTCTTTTTTGCTCCTTCTCACAGTTTTGGGTTATTTTTTATTGTGTGTGTGTTTTTTTTTTTTTTCCTTCCCTGATACCAATGTAAGCAATTAGCCCCAATTCAGCTCCAACGAGGCGCAGGTGCTGGTCTCCAGCTGAGCCTCGTTAGGGAGGTTCCAGCCCCCAGCCCAGGGCTGGGAGGCACCTACATAAGGAGGCAGGCAGAGGCAGAGCCCCTTTTGCAGAAGGAGGCTGTTCCCATAGGGAAGGTCCCTGGAGGCTGCTGCTCTTCCCGCTGGGATGCGCTGCCTTCCCAGGACCGCGCTGGGGAAGGTCCCTCGCACCGGGATTGAGGCTCCTGCTCCTTGGGAAGGCTCCAGCGGCCGGGCCGGCTCCCAGGGCTGCGGAGGAGCCGGGTGGAGGAGCTGGTGGATCCCATTCCCGCAGGAGCCCCTGGAGAAGAGGTGAGCGGTGCCGGGTGCTCCCTTTGGCCAGGCTGGTCCCCATCTGCTGCCCTGCGCTCCGGTGAGGTCCGTGTGCCAGCACCGGGCTCTGAGCTGCTGTCCTGGCCACGGCACAGCCTCCAAGGGGCCCTTCCACCTTGGCACGCAGGCAAGGAAGGGCCTGCAGGAGCAGGGAAGCTCTTGGATCCTCTCAGGAGCTCCAAGGGCCTGTACCCCCATGTGCAGCACAGGGAGGAGCTGCAGGGCTGTGATCCCGTTGTGGTTACGGAGCTGTGCTGGGAATGGGAATTCTGCAAGGTGAGCAGGACAGGCAGGAGGGGGAGCCCCCCTTCCTGGAGCATTTAGCTGGGGGCATCACTAAGACCAAAAAAAATCCCTGGGAAGCAACAGTGAAGAGGGTGCAAATGAAAGCCAGGAGCGGAGGCACAGACTAGGCTGAGCACATGTGCATGCATCAGTCAGGTTTATTGGTGCATCAACAACTTCTGCAACGCAGGGCATGTGTATAAGGAAATACTCATCCAAAGGAGGTCACTGCGATGGTGATCGGTGACAGGCTGTCACACCACAGGAATACACTGGTAACCAAGATTTTTAGGGACTCTTTGCTCAAGCCACTTGTTTTATGGCAACAGGAGCATGCTCTGCCTACATGGGTGAAAGTCCTTGCTCAACATCTGCTAAACGTGTAAACTTGGACAAGCTTTTAAAGCACTGATACCCATCTTGTGGTTTTGACTCTCTCCATGATATAAAATGCTTGTGAAAGGCCACAGGTTAAGAGTTTGTTAGGCTCTTTAATTAAAGAAGGAATTGAGTGCTGGTGAAAGGGCCAGAGTGGCACCAGGAAACTGAGATCCTCCAATCCCAAATCAGAACTGCAGACCCCTGGAATGACATTAACATGGTCCAGCTGAGAGTAAGACTGTCTGTGGGGTTAAAAAGTTCAGTTTCCAGAGCCTGTTTGATCATGGGCTGCAGTATTCCACAAGGAAAATGGTCCTTATTTGAAATTTGTGTGGGGAGAAGTGTGGTAAGGACACAAGAGTGACCTTACAGGCTTGTTGGAGTGGTGTGGACCAGTGACACTGCTCCCTGCCAGTACCCGAGTCCCTCAATAGGGCTATCCCAACATCTGGAGTTAACATCTTCCTAATCTTCCACTGATAAACCTAGTAGCAGTTCAGTGCAAGTGTATTAATGGTATAGAAAGATTATTCTACATATATCTGCATGTCCTTTTTGTGATGTTTCCATAACTGCATCACTAAGGGCAGGCGAATGCTGGCAACAGACATTGTCAAAACATTTATGACTACTTTGAATGTACTCCATAGCTTACATTGCTAAGTAATGCAGATGTTTTCTGCTTGGGAGAGTTTAGGAAAATCACACAATGTTTTCCAACTTGTTATCAATACCACAGGTTATTGTTCGTTGACAGACTTTGTCAAACTGACAATATGAACTCTTACCAAGGTGAATTACAGCAGCTCAGTTGCTATGAGCTTAGCAAAGCTAAATAATCTGGATAAACAAAGCTAACTTCAAAAATACTGCAACTGAGAACATTTGTATACATTTTCTTAGAAATCCACTCAGGGTACAAAGCTAAAAATGAAACTCAGCAAGCCTGGGACATAGTTTGTAAAGTGTCTCTTGACAAACGGAGACTAAACAACAAACTGTAAGAGTTGCTCCCAAAAGTCAATAAACTTACAAATGTGGCAGACAATAAATATGTATCTTTGACTTGCACAGCCCTCTCCTTTCAGGGACACCCAAAGCCAGTCGCCCTGTGCACCTCTCTGAGGTAGATACGATGTCTGTTGTGTAGGTGGTAAGTGAGGAGTAGCTCCTTGTCCAAGGCATCACCTATCCAGTGCTAAAGCTGAGAATAGAGTTCAGGACTCGTAGTCTCTTGGTCTCATTCCTAGATACTATCTCATCTCAGTTATAACAGTGTAATCTTCAAGTTCCTTTGAACTGCCAGGTATTTAAGTTATAAGCATCATCTTCTAGAGGGTTTTTAAAATAAATTTTTCTACTAGGCTAAAAGCAAAGCAGGGCTTAAAACTAGAAGCTAAGTGGTTTTCTGTAAGAAATTCCCAACAGTGCTAATGTTTACTTTAATACTGAATTTAAATGAACATGGGTCCATACTGCTTTTGGTAATTCTACTTAGTACTTTCTACATAGTTATTCATGCCTCAGTTTAGCAATGCACTTAAATGTAGCTACAATCCATTTTCAGTAATATCCCCTCAGTACTTCAAGGTCTACAGGGAGCCTCAGTGAGATATCCTTCCCCCTTTATGGGAAAGGAAGCTTTTGCTGCACCAGGAGTTCAGATATGTGCCTTAACAAATGAAGCCTTGGAAACTAAATCTCAGATTCCATTTAGAAACTTTGCTTCAGCTTGAAGATGAATGTTGTTGCTCCCCATTTATAAAAGTGCAAAGAAGGTAACTGAGTAATATTCTCAGCCTATTCTTCTATGTTTAAATCCATTAATGCAAGTATGTGTTAGAGGCTTTGCAAAGAAAAAGGAAAACCCTTGTCAGTAATATGCACCTCCCCAGCACCTTTTAAAAGATGTCAATGCACTTATTATGCAGCCTCACATCCCCACTGTGAGGTAAGACTTGTTAAACCAATTTCAACATCCCTGATTCTGAGTAATAGGAGAAGTAGGGCAGTTTACCTAGCTTATTTTATTATGAAATTAAACTGCTCCCTTCATTACCAGAATTAAAGTCTTGCTGCTTAAGAGTCATCGGTGACAAATCAAGCTCATTAAGGCAGAATGCAGACTGGGAAACTTCCAGCTTCCCTTTTGGCTAAGCACTCTGCCCTTCTAAAAAGGGCAAAACTTTTTTTTACCTGTGAAGAATGAGAACTATACCTTAAAGTGCTATTTTTTACAGTATTTGGAGTCTGGTACAGCTTATTAATACTGCAGCCATGAGATTGGCTATACTCAAGTGAAGTCTAAATGTGTTGAACAGATGTAAATTATTTCCCTAATTACCATAGTTCCCTCTTGCCAGAATTGGAGATATTAAGAACAAGAATAGAAGTATTTCAAGAGACATGCCTACATTTTGATGCCGTGTAAACACCAAGGGGTTGATAGTTATTTTTCAAGCAACTAAAAACTACCTATGGAGCTTTACTAAGTTTATTCATTACTCAACCATCTACTCATTAATTTTAAAAAGGCTATTTTAAAGCTTAGAGGCCAGTTTTTTCTCTAAAGTCACTGCTTCACACAAATGATACATTCTACTCTGGATGGTAACACGGTATAGGGCAGCTTTGGATATATCCTTTCCTTTAAAACCTGTGCACCAAATGAGCAGCTTGTCCCTACAAGACTCTGCTTGTATGTGCAGAGCCCAACTCTTAGTATAAGTAAAGCTGATGTGTGTTTCCCAAACCTTTAGGCTAGTTTAACTGCCCTGAAAACGTGATATTGATAGACTAATTCAGTACTTTAGAGGCTAGATTTTGCTTTAGTGTTGAACAAGCTCGTTTGTATGCACACAGGGGTCAGGTTTTGAGCTGCCAGTGTCTACCACCTGCCAAATTACTATTCACCAGCATGCGAGAGAATTCCTATTTCAAACCAGCCAGAAAAGCCACTACTTGCATACGTATCCATCAGCCTGCACACTACCCCAGCGAACCCCAGCGTCTCGGCCATCGTTACGTTAATTTGCTTTTCAAGCTCTGTGAACGGAATTTTATGATTACATACAGCTTATGTGATAATCCGGAATTTAATTCCGGACCTGTGAGGTAGTAGCTGTCACCACCCTCAGGGAGGTGTCACACTTCTCCGAAGTTGGTGTGACCTGTCTCCTTGGCATGTTCCCTGGCTTCCGCTTGTCCGGTCAGTCCCTTCTGGCACACCATGCACCTCAGCGTGAAGCGGTTCACGTCGGTGAACTGCCTCTTGCGCCGGGCGTCATCCGCCAGCTCCAGCGCTTGCGCCAGGACGATGTCGTCAGCTGTGGAGAAAATGGTCTGGGGAGGAACGTCCGAGTCGGGGATTTTGCGCTCGAGAGGGTCATAGTGAATCCCGTCGTAAATTAAAAGGACCCGCTTGGTGTAACCAGCGTCTTCCCCAAAACGGTCGATCCTGACTGTCTGCGTGTCCACTACACAGATCTCGCACTGGTAAAACTTGGATAAAATGGATACCTCGATGGCTCCTCCCCAGGTTTCCTCCTTCCGGATCCACTCGCAGTACTCCCTGTTGGTTTTCCCGAGCACGGCCTCGCAGTAGGACTCGGGGTCGCTGGCGACTATCTGCGCGATGAGGCTGCGCATCTCGGGCGCGCAGGCCGGGTCGTAGACGCCGCCCTCCACCACGTAGGAGACGCTGGTGAAGAGGCAGGAGTTGTCGGCGGGGACCACGCGCCGGGCCAGCACGGGCGCTGCCTCCCTGGCCGCGCTGCTCATGGCTCTCTTGGCGAGCGCGGGCGACGCGGGCTGTGCCGGGGAGGGCTCCTCTTCCACGATGAGGGTGTCGCCTGCAGGGAGATCAGGGACAGGGATGAGGGCACGGGAATGTGGCCGTGCTCTCAAGGAGGAGGGTTCCTTAGCGAGAGGGACTGAGGTGGTTTCTCCCCCAGAAATGTGTTATCCGGGCAGGAAGCACCACTGGGCACAACTGGTTAAGTGATATATATTGAACTGTATATATCAAGATATAAATATATTAAGGTACACAGTCTAAGCTAGAAGTATAAGCATATATATGATATAATAAGATACATAGCAAGACATTAAAAAAAGATGTACATTAAGGTAGCTATATAAAAGGTCTATAAGAAGATATATATTATGACACAGGTTATTCAAGTATATGAAGATACAGGCCTATAAAAGGGCACAATATGACCTTTCATAAACCATATATTAATATATACGACTAATATTACATCTTATGGTCTACACAAGGACATATATCAATATATGGTATATATGGTCTACACAAGAACATACTTCAATAGATGATATATATGGTCTACACAAGGAAATATATCAATATGATATACATAGTCTACACAAGCACAATATATATTAAGACAGAGCTCTATAGATGATATATATGGTCTACACAAGGACATATATAGTAATACATATGATATATATGGTCTACACAAGGAAACATATCAATGATACACATAGTCTACCCAAGGACAATATATATTAAGACAGAGCTCTGCTAATGTCTATAAAAGGGTATTCATTAAGCTATGTATATAAAATATATGCTAGATATATATGCAAGTCTATAAAGGGGTATATATTAAGGTGTATATATAACGATATTGATGGTTATATATATATGAAGGTCTATAAAAGGGTATACATTAAGGTAAATGTATAAGGATATTGATGGTTATATATGCAGGTCTATAAAAGGGTATACTTTAAGGTATATGTATAAAGATAACGATAGCTATATATATATTCAGATCTACAGAAGGGTATACATTAAGGTAAATGTATAAAGATACTGATAGCTATACATATTTGCAGGTCTATAGAAGGGTATACATTAAGGTATATGTAGAAGGATATTGATGGTTATATATATGCAGGTCTACAGAAAGGTATACTTTAAGGTATATGTATAAAGATAACGATAGCTATATATATATTCAGATCTACAGAAGGGTATACATTAAGGTATATGTAGAAGGATATCGATGGTTATATATATGCTGGTCTATAGAAGGGTATGCATTAAGGTATATGTATAAAGATAACGATAGCTATATATATGCAGGTCTATGAAGGGGTATATATCAAGGTACGCGTCTCCGGATCCGCGAGGCCAGCTCCCAACCGAGGCGCGTCCCCGCGCGGCCCCCCCGCG